ACGTGATGTTGACTAAGCGATGACGTGTCCCACATAACTCCCCCCGGAGGAGTGAAGTAACTTATCTAAAAACAAGTTAGTGACTTTCAAATGATTTAACACAAGGCCATAAAGGTGGCAATAAAGGAAGAATTAGATCACCTAGTGGTGTTTGTTTTTCGTATTAGCAAATTAGCATAGAAGTGAAGTAATAAATTCATTTAAAGAAGTCAAGTCACATAAATAATTTTCCTCTCAAAGTATTTTATCAAAGAATAAAACGGAATAAGGAAGACAATAACAACAATAAAGACCGAAATAAATTTGTATATAGATTAGTCTCACAAGTGCTGTATAACTCAGAACTTCTTTGAAAGGCAAAAAAATATCCTTTTCTCAAAGTAGGGTTGACCTAGTTTGTGGAGAAAGGAAACAATTGAAGAAATGTGCATGTGTTTTGCTAGTGAATTGGCATTGAATTATATGAGTGATTGTGTTGATAAAATGACAGTATTTGATATTCCTCTCCCAATTTTCTTCTTCCTTTTTGTTAAAATCCTAAAGCCCTCTCCTGACTTAGCATCTTCTTCACTGTCTCCACAATGAATTCGCATGGTTGGGTGTTAAATTGTTGAGCGAATAGATGGCAACTGTTCATATCGGACGTGTCCGATGCCCGAACAACGAACCCGAAAATTCTAAAAAAGTGAACTTATTTAGGTATAAGATTAAAATATGTAAATATAGTCAACGAACTTAGCCTTCATATAAAAGTTTAAGCTGCCATAGTTACGCTTGGTGGTGTCCAAGTTGATTCAAAGATTACTTTTATCCAACTTTAAGTTATTAGGTATGGTTTGGCATTATAACTGCCCAATCAGAATTCCTAACTCACACTGAGCACCTAGTTACCGTGGAATGAATGAGGAACTTTCTTCAATTAAAACCCATTTACTTTATCTCGGCCATATACTGCGGAGAGATTTTCAGTTGGTATGATATAATGATAATTAGATTTACCAATATGCTTGCCTCTTATAACCAGGTACTGTTAAAGAACGATTATTTCTTCGTTTTAACTACTCCTATCTGTACATTTAGCATGAATTTGTATTAGTAGATTTGACTTTTTCACTTTAAAAGATTTGTCATGAATCATCGTCATCGTATTCGCGCAATATTTTGGAGAAGATGAGTGCAAAGGAACAGTAAATAGAACCTCAAAAGGGAACTAGCACAAACTCATAAAAGCTTGAGTTAGTTTGGAAAAAAAGTGGGGTCAATAGCGAAACAGTTGAGGCTGAAGATCAGTACTTATTCAAGCCTATATGCGTGCCCCTGGTATAAATCTACTAGCCTATTAGGCTAGTGTTGCTATAGGCCCACTCAGTCTTCACAATATTACTAAGATGCCAATGGTTGGAAGCGACTGAATATTTCTAGTTGGAAATGCTGGATGTGTTTTAAGCGCCACCTTGGAATAGTTTTACTAGAAGACTATCTGAATGGAATGGATTTGGTGAGATCTAGGTTGACTACAATACTATAATAGGCTCAAAATTCTAACAATGAGTATAACGGATAAAATGGAGAGACTAGCCTCAGTACAATGTTTGAAATTTCAAAACAAATAACTGCGCTGTATAAATGCATGAAAGGAAATTGATAAGTCTAGGGCCATAGTTACAGTATTTCTGCTTTTCCTGTGCACCCACCTTGGTACCACTGTCTGTCACTAAGTCAGCAGTCAGCTGGTATGCATCAGTCCTGGTAACTAAACAAATATTTGAGCTAAAATATATTTTCAGCATTCTCATGAAGGCGATAGACTAACCTCCACGTGGTGCACCCTGAGCAACGTTTACACATACGGCAAAAAAGTCTATTATTCGGCAGTTGACTTCTCACTTCAAACTACCATCACCCCACTGTATGTCATATTCGACTACTTTTCTACCTCTTCTACCTTAGTGTCTGTCTCTTTTACATCATTGAAAAGCTCTTCTGCCCCCCCCCCCTCATTCCGACCTTTTTCACTTTGATGTTCTTCCTCACTGTGAAGACAGAAATCAGCCGAAGAGCCAGTGATAACTATCAAAAGCCTATCATTTGGTATAAATAAACAAATTTCAGATAAATGAATATTTTTCAAATGTTATGTTGATTAAACGTCCAACTCGCCTCACCTATATTTAGAAAAGCTTTTAGGAACCCTATCCGAATACTAATCTCCATCATTTGTAACCTTTTATAGCGATTATTGTTTTTACTTAAGCCGTAAACGTGGGTGTTATCTACTAATCAGACAGCTATTCAGTCACACTTGTTCACTTATACATAAAAATTATTTCCTCTATAAAAAGAGCGTGGTTTTAGGCAGTAAGTATTATTCATACTTCTGATGGGAGGTTCAGAAATGTGTGAGTATGATTACCTAGACGCAATTTGATCCATCTGAGCCTCCACTTAAAGAAATGAAAAGCTGAAACCTATTACCGGCGAATGAATATATTCCGAGGAACTTAGACACTCGATTCGGCTCCTTTACACCAATGATTTTAGAAGAATCTCTAGGTCATTCGGGTCTGGTCTTAGAGAATTTATAGATTGTATCAACTATTAATTAATTAAAAGTAGAAGTTTTAGATTTACGTACAGTTAACTGGCATAGTAACAAAAATTCAACCATTCTAGTTTGTTAAAAAATAAATTGTAAAATGTGAAAAAACATGTGAATGCCAGAGACTAGACAAAAAAACCAATCAGAGGGCACATTTAAGAGACAACCTAGCTATTACTCCGTGCTATATTGATTTAAGTTACTGACAAATTGCCTACTTAACCAAATGCCTAGTCTATGCTCTGGCTTTGCTTGTAGAATCGTTATCTATGTATTTTTCATCTACACTTCTCACCTTTACAGTGTGCCACCCTCATATGGGGCCGTAGTTCATTCAACTTCTCATTATAATTGAATAAATGTGCTCTATTCACAATATAAATAAAAATTGAAATTCATAGGCAAACAGGTATGTAACTTCCACTCACTCAATTCATACCCTTATCTTACTGGTGTAATGGCTTCTGCTACGTAAATCTCAATTGTTTTATTTCATTTGGTGGTACTGTTTTGATTCAAATATGGCTTTGTTTTGAATGGATATAATACCAAAACTGCAAAATGTTAAATTTCTCCAGTACAGACCAAGATTTGGGAAGGATCTGCAGCATACCGCAAATAACAGCAGTACCCAAATAAAAATTCCAAGATATGCCAGTGGACCTGTTCAACTGCGCAGCAAATTTAAATGGAATAATGATAATTAGACAAGATTGTTTGTCAGAAGGAAGGAAACTCAGTATTTATTTCGCATGTTTAGCAAGTGAGTGATAAAACAGTCGAGCCATAGGAGATATGGGTGGGAATCGGTAATCAATAATTTGCAGCTAGGATCTCGTCACGTGGGTGAAAAAAATGTGGGTAATTGAAATTAGATTATGTGAGCATTCAAACAAAAAGATATTTAGCATAATATAGCCTAATTTAACACCTTGTGCGAAAGATAATGTTAGGTTTCTTTTGGAGGGCATTGCATCAATCATCTATGCTCTATTTATCTACTTAAAATAGCCATTAGCTTTTCTAAGCTTTAATCTTATTTCAAGAGAGTCAAAGTGGCCCAGAAAATTGTTACCATTTATTTTGGCTAAACATTTAATCCAGTCACTTTCCCACAAATACACCCAAGTTTAGATTTGGGTTCTTAAGCTTCAAAACTAGCAAAAGTACAGCCAAAAAGGCTTTATTTAAATAGAAGGTAAAGATGACTTAATTACCAGTCGTAAAGAGTAGAGCGCTGAGTAAGATCTGCTTCAAAAATCTATTCTTTTCATGAAAAAATCAGAATAATATGATAGATCCAGTTAAAAACACTTATTCATGGTTAATACAGGAGTTTAGCATCCAACTAATTAGTGAGAATGTACTTGTCGACAGCGAAGTGCCTCCTTATGCATGTGGTGCCGAACTAAGGTTAAAAATGGCCAAATTTGAAGTTAGGACGTTATTATTTCATCTAGATCTGCCAGACCTGGTTACTCGAAACTGGATTATTAAGCAATTACCGTCACAATTATTTCCTAAGAAGGCACTCAAAAATTACCTATCGATTTCTATATAAGGAAACCTATCTTTCGAACAAAAGCGAATTGAACTACACGTCTTCTCCTAGTTCTGAGTGCTTTCTAGAGGTGACAGCTGAAAGTTATAAGAATTCAAACGACTCACGATCGAGAACGGTGTTTAATACTATTCGACAGAGGTAAGACGGAACGTAAGTCTGTAAACGGCAAAGATCAGATAACAATTACATAGATGATGCACTGGGTGATTCTGATCATTAAGATTAGAGACGGAATTTGAGTTTCTCATCAGTGTTTCCACGATACCTCATCGCTATACAAGCCAAGACATCTTGATATGATTCTTAATGATGTGATAAATACCGCAAAAAGGCAGCAAATGGGGGGGGGGGCTCTCAAAAGTAATCAATATCATCCATAAAAAATTAGCAAAAATAAATCGTGCGAGATTAAAAAATGGAAGAGGCTATAAATACTACAGTTTACTCCTCGAAAAAAACAAATTCTTAGTTAGAGGTAGAAATTTTCCCACAGTACATTAAGTTAGTCTGATGGTAGTCAGATCTGCAGCCACTAAGGATAGGCCACTTATCTTTCCTCATAATAGAAAACCAAACCACTCTAAAGTTTTTCGTATAAAAAGCAATCACGTCCTATTGATCTAACGTAACTGTTATTAACCACTCTCCAATCTACATACATATTAACAGTAAATTTAAGTGAGTAAGTAGGGAGAAAGAGATGGAACGGAAGTATAAATGCAAAAGGGACCACTTTCAGGAGATTGGAGGGAAATTTTTGGAGGTTGAGGGAGAAAGGGAGGGTGGCGAGGAGGAGGATCGGCTATGGGAGATTTTGAAGACAGTCGTGTTGGTCCCACCTACAGCCAGTCTTTCAAGGGAATCACTGAGTACAGTAGAAGCTGATAATTGAGATTCTGACGTGATTGGCTCATTTACCACGAGCGCCAAAATCACAGTGATGTCACCACGAACTCCACCTAGAAAAAAAGAGACATACATAATTCATGTGATAGCCAATACTGCTGCAAGATAAAACAATAAGGATCAAATAGGAAAGATTATCTGATATAAAAATGACACTAACTTCATCGGTTATAATTGATAGACCCACTGGATTTTCACTATCTGACTGTAAATAGCAAAAACAATACATCGTGATAAGTAAACCACATAGAAACCACAAATAGAAGGGATGATGGACTTGATATGACCCCGACGAAAACAGATAATTTTCAGACCAAGAAGTTATCTGAAGCTGGTGATCGATTTAAATCAACTCCCTGTATATTCATGCCGTTCTATGTATGACTTATGTGCTTTGAACTTTATCTCGTTTGTCAACTTCAGACATCTCACATTAGCATTTTTAATCTGCCCTATTTTCGTCAGTTAATCCAAGACTTGTCCTGTGATTTTTCTCAGTGCGATTTTTGATCTCAATTATTTCAAATAAATCGAGCTATCAGCTGTCTGTAAGAACGAGATACTGCTTGGAAGGTAAATAGCAGAGCAAGATTCTCTACTGATTCGACAGTAAGCAAATTCAATCAGAGTCGCAAAAAAGTTTTCAGCTGAGCGCAGACATAGATAAACCAAACAATTTAAATTGGTTCGCTATATCTGGCGTGATCATAATCGAGTTACTATTTAAATCGGAAAAAGCATAGTTGCAGTAGTAAAGCTCAGATATTGAAACTAAATGAAACATCAATATTTTTTTGTGATAGAGAGAGAAAATTCTGCGGCACATTCATTGCCAAATTCCCAGACTATGCCAATGATGCAATAAGCCAAAAACGTTGTTTTTAGTGCAAAGTAATAAGAGAGAGATTGAGGGCTTACGCACCAGCAATATTGAGACCGTATTGGCGGGCCTCGTTGGCAAAGGGAGAAAGGAAGTTGGGGTTCTCAGCAGCATCACGTGCACAGGTAACAAGGCGGTAGGCACACCAATCCAAAAGCTCATCTGACGACGAGCTCAAATCGCAGTCCTATAATGTGTCAGCAGAACCACAAGGCTTGTGTTAATAAGCAGAAAATCGAAACAAAAGAAATTTGATATCAAAGGAAACCTAATCAGCCTTAACTTATTAGAACGACATTACAATCAAATTGAGAATTTTCGTTGAGTCACAAGAATGAAATAGAAATAATACAAAGAAATCAAACAATCACTATTGGTGAAATGATTACATAACGCGGCGGTTGCGATGGAAAACGCGGTCTAATTGGACCATAATGTCTGCACTTTTGAGTTTTGGAAATGCTAATGAAACTAGGTCATGTACGATCTATTGTGCACATATGTTTAACATGGGAGATAAATAAATAACAAATTGTAATAAGATAATAAAAATTCAGGAAACATTAACTAAAGAAAACATACTTTGATTAATTAGTTGGTATTCAAGTTAAAATTTCACAGTGGCAGGACAATAAAGTGAACTGGCAGAGGAAGGAATACAACCCATTATCTTCAAGAAAAGAGGTGTGTGATAGACTTACCTCCACGTGGTGCACCCT